CCCACTTCCCTGCCACATGTTCTCCTTTACTGCAAGCTTGGAACCTTTTACTTCCAACCAGGTACCTGCACCTCTTGCCACCACCATTTTATCTCCCACTCAGATCTCGTGGTGAAGTTCCAACCCTCCCACTACATAAACTTCTCCCCACCAAATCAGGACCCCAGCCCTCTTCCTTTTAGCGCGTCCCATTCCACCAGTCCTGAGGATTACTCGCTCTCCGTCCATGTTTAGAGGACAATCCTCCTGCTGGCTGCACTCTTCTATTATTGATGCAGCAGAGCAAGTGAGAAAACGAGGAGGCTCTGCAGTTAGATCCTGCCGGTCAGTGGGCATGTGTAACTGCTTGTTTGGAGGTTGCTGTGCACATGTCTGCACATTAGGCTGTTGTGATTATCCAGGACAGCTCTACTATTTTGAAGAGGTTTGAGAATCACAGTTTGGGAACTTCTGGCCTGCAAGACCTGCTGGCTCATGAGCTTGTCTGTGGCGGGACAGCAGCAGTAGCGTTGCTGCTTTTGTGGGTCTTGAAGCGAGTTATCCAACTGCTGCGCTGGGACTGCATCCCCTGGCTCGCAGGACGGTGCTGATGTATGGGCTGGTCACCAGCTTTGATGCTGCCTTGGAGAGGATGTGAGCCCTCAGGACTGTGAGGCCAATACTGTCAGCACGGTGCCTCTGTGACCGCCCACGGCGAGTCGCGGTTGTATCCTCCCTGTGAACAGTGGTGGGAGCTCCTGCTGGCTCTGCAGTGGGTTTTGTGCCGATCAGCTGTATGACCAGTTGAGTGTGTAGCTGTAGGAGCTGAGTTTAGGAGAGAGACCGTAGCTGGCACAGGAAAAGCTGCTCGTTGCCATGTCCCAGGCTGAGATCTCTGGAAGAGTTGCAGTCCTGGTGTGGTGACACCATGTTTGTACTGGATTTATTTTTCTTTCCAGCATTCCGTGGTGGTGGTTATTGTCAGTGAGTACTTCAGCAGCGTGCCAAGCTAACGGTGCAGTTCTGTACATGAGGGGAGGAGGGATTGTTCCCGGCCCCTGCTGGCAGTTGCCCTCCCTGCCTGGGACTGCATAACTCTGTGCAGAATGGCCTCCAAGCATTAAAATTTATCGAACTTTTAAAATCCAACTATATTTATACAACCTTTTCCCTGTAGCCACCCACTCTATTCTCTAAGTCACTATCCTGCTGCAGTGAACTCCTCTGACCAGTACTCTGGGGGAGCGATACTTCATTATTAGCTTTTTTGGGGGGCTTTTCCTTTCTGATGCCCCTAATACAGGCACTGATTTTTGACAAGTCTTGTATTTGTCTGGTTTATCACCTCAACCTTGAGTTAAAAAGTTATATCACTTTTAGTTCATTTATTAAAACATTGTGATGATAACGTTTTTAACATAATTATATTTCTCCATGGTCATGTTAACACTCCTTTCCTTTATGGGCTTTTGGATTAATGGTTATGGTATGAGTTATATTTGTTTGTGAATTAACATGAATTTGTATGCTGTAATGCCAGTGAGAATTGGAGGTTCCACTGCACGTAGATGCAATATGAGCAACTAAAATGATCCTTTCTATGAAAAGCTTCCAATCTAAAGAAACACTAATGGTGAAATTATAATGTAACAGTGCTAATTAAAAATAATAGAAGAACATTTCATCTGTCGCTCATTAGCCTCCTAGATCTTTACAAAAGGCCTGAGAAAGTTAGCTTAATAAGGGCCGTAGAGGAAAAGTCCCATTTTTACACAGGTTTCAGATGAGTTCTTGGGAGCAGTGTAGTTTTGAGAGCATATTGTAGCTGGTGCGATATCACTTATGATCTATTTTGAAATAGTAATCACAATATAAATTAGGGCTCAGCTGCCAAATCCAGTATACAGAGATGCGTGATATATTTTCATCTCAGGGTAAATTGCTTCAGTTACGTTATTCTGAGTTATCGTTTGAACCCGGTGCCTGCATGTTTAGTATATGTTTGTGGTGTATATAAACTTCTTATGGCCTGACTCTTGATTTCATTGACATGGTTGTTAATTCATTAACTTCAGTGGAGTTGTTCATGACTTATCTTGGCAGGAGTGAGGACAGAATCAGGCCTTAAATCTTCAAATTAAAAAATTAAACTATAAAAATATTGTGAAACAAAATACTGCCAACGTATTCCCATTAAGTAGTATTTCATATGAGAAATGATAATAATATAATAATTAAATTATAATAATAAAATAGTAATAAAAAAAAATCCTGGTTAATAGAAAAGCAGAAATCAAATAGCTAGTAAAAAAGAAAGGAAAAAAAAAAAAACCCAACAAGTTTTTAGTCTACAGAGATGTAAGAGAACTGGATTTAAATAAGTACTATTTTGAATGTATATTCTTGTAACAGTGACAAGTTATCAAGCAGAATTGTTTTATTTTTGCATGTCTGTCCCATTTAAAGTGAAGCCAGACTAACTTCTCTCAGCTGATGTTTTTCAAGAGTCTTGTAATCCCCAATTATATTAGCAGATTTATTTTTTCAAGTAAACGTATAGTTGAAATGTACGTATTAGTGCTTTATTTGGGGGGAAATTAATTATGCAGTTCTTCATAGATTATATTAATTCATTAAAGACTAGTTAGTTGAATACTTTTCTTTTGTAAGGATCTAAATGATTTTAAAAGTTGAGGAAGTTAGCATTTCTAACGCTGAGCTGACAAAGGAGCAGAGGAAAAGAAAAAGCTACTACAGTCAAATAATCAAACCTTGACATTTTTGTGTGGTTCTGCGAAAAACACATGTAAATGTCTTTATGTAGTAACGCTTGCAGTGACCTGGGAGATAAAGTGATACGTGAGTTTACCATCTCTCTGTAAAACATTTCCCCTTTTGTTTTTTAGTGATGTATGGCTTAGTTACATGTAGCTTTTTTTTTTTCTTCCTTCCCCCTCCCTTCCCCCCCCCCCCGCCAGCTGACTACTGAGGCTTTAGGAGGGTATTAGTGAAGTCTTACTTGCACACATCTCCCTGTTTGTGATGGCTCTGCCCTAGCGATAGTCAGGAAATGGCTGGAAGATCTGCATGCGAGTGAGGAGGTAATTAGTCATGGCCAAACCGTTTACTGTGAAGTAAACTTTACTCTCTGGGGACTGTTTTGTCAGCAAAGGAGTTATCTTGGGTTAGCTTCTGAAATCCAATTGATTTAGCATTATTTACAGATTCGTATCAATTAGCCCCTCAGTGGAAAAAAAGTGGGCCATTGTAATTTTGACAATTTTTCTCAGAAGGCCACTTTCTGTAGCCCATCTTACGCACACAGGTGCCAGAAAAGCATTGTATGAAAATTAGAGGATCTGCAATCAAAAATGCTGGCTTATATGGTTATAATCTGGAATTGCCATTAATGGAAAAAGGAGTTGTGAACACATGTGTATGAATGGAATTGTTCCACAGTTAACAGGAGATTTATGGCTGAAGAAATCACTACAGAACAGCAAGTGGTAGAGATTGTGTTTTTATTTTAATATGAGAGCCAAGTCTTGCATTAGGACGTTGCTGAATCTAGTGCAGAAAATAAACGACACCCGAGGGATGGTGTAGCATTCTGTTAGATTGAAGGGCCTTTAATAATCCCATAGTCTAATAGCAGTTAAGATAGAGAATGTATAAGAACTAATCTTCTGCTTTTACAATAATGTGTGTACGGTAACAAGAAACAGTTATGATGTGTTGGCACCGTAGCTTTTAGCAGATGACTTTTTAAATTAAAAGATGTTTGCTGAGTGACTTTCTGGAATTTATTTAATGAAGGCTCATAAAATACGATATCTGTTTACAGCTGGATTAACAGCGCTATGCTCAACTACTAGTCTTTAGGCTAGACAAAAAGTACTGAGCAAATCCGAAATCTTTCGTTCCTGGGAAGTTCACATTCATTTTGCAAAAGCATAAATTTAAACTTCTACATCTGTCCGTCTTTAATTATAATTAACAGTTTCTGGTTTTGCAGATTTCATGTGATCTTGACTTGCAAACTATAGGCTGCGAGTCAAATGTGTACAAAGAAATACTGCAGCAATCCTGCTTGTTCAGTTTTTTCAAGTTTGATTTCCTCTGGATAGCAGCAAGCAATGGCAATTCTATTAGTATTGCACCTTCCCCCCCGCCTTTCTCTTGGAAAAGTCAGTCTATAGATTAACTTCAGTTACTTGGTTTTCCTCACAGAAGATGTTTGGGGATGAGGTTAATTTTTGACTGAACTACATCTACTGTATTTGTATTCTGCAGTGAGTGTATCTGCTTGGGGTGTGCAGGGTGGGAGAAAGTTGTTCCTGAAGTAACTTCCTTTTTGGAAACAGTAGTGGTAAGTTTACACAGGACTTGCTAAACAGCAAGTGTATGTTAGCTTGTGCTATGGCTCTCCAAACAAACAGTTCGTGGCACTTGTAAGCAGCCAGCTTTGGTGTGTAAATGTACACTAGATGGCAGTTTTGTCATATCTTCCAAGTTCAAATAGCTCTGTAGGGGAACAGGAAAGGCCATCAGTGTTTAGTCTGCACTCACAGGGTCCCTGCATGACCAATGTGGACCCCATGGACTTCCTGGAACATGTGTTAGCAATTTAGCAGCAGACATTTATTTCTTTGTTTTACTGCTTGGCTCTTTGAGAAAGTGTTGGTACTCAGTTATGGGCTGTCTGGATCATGTCAGAGGCCATGGGGATCAAGTCCATGTGACAGGCCAGACTGAGGAAGGATGAAGTTGGAGGAGGTGAGGAAACTGACCCTTACTTCAACAGTAACAAGTCACTGCCTGTCTGTGGACTGTGGCCAAATGCCGGGGCGTTTTGGGTCTAATACAGCTGAATAAACAAAACACTTTGCCCATTTGGCTTTTTCATATTTCATCAACACTAGTTCAATCAAAGTCTTTTCTATTTCCTAAGAAGTTATTATTCATCATCTTTTTTTTTTTTTTTTTTTTTTTTCTTCCTCCCCCCACCCTTTCCATTTTAGCCCCGTCCAGACGAGGTGACCTTGAAATCCTTGGCTACTGCATGCTGCAATGGTTATGTGGGAAGCTGCCCTGGGAACAGAATCTGAAGGACCCTGTAGCTGTCCAGGCTGCGAAAACAAAGTAAAAATAAAACGACACACATGCGTACACATGCACACACTCATACCACCCTAGAACCCTGCAACATCCTCATCACTGAACAAAACAGGTCTGAAAAAAACCGCTTTTGACCCTATGGAATAGCACCTTATGAGAAAGCTAAACCAGTTTTCTTTAATTGAGAGATGTTAGAAGCAGTTAAAAACATGAACTCTATGTGCATGCCTACCCTATTCCACATGTTTATGCATGTACTGCTGTAGAGATTTGGTAAATTCAAATGCACGGCGTGCAGTCATTTTGTCTGCTGTGTATTTTTTTAATAGTCTTTTTTTAAAGAAAACATTTGTGAATTAGTGCAGGCCTTATTGCACCTACAGAAGGTTGTTGTGTGTTTCCATTAAACTTCATGGGTACTTTGTAGACGCTATAGTACAAACATCTCTTGGAAGTTTTTCCACATGTGCATTCAATTTATTTTACTTTCTATATGATACTATTTTTCAGATGTTTTTATGGCGGTTTTTAATGTTACATAAGCCTACTGCCATTACAAACAATTAAATACCGAAATACTAAAGAACTTGATTAAAATCTTTCCTTTTTCCCAGCATGACTCATTTAGAGCTTACTACAGCAAGAGAGTGTATTAGTGTTTTCTTTCTCTGCTTTCACAGTTGGGACTTGAGAGAGTTAATTGCATGTGGTACCGTGTAGCCTGTGGAAGGCTGTACAGAAGAGTACTTACCCATAAATGTAACATCACAATCGGAGAAGGCAGCAAACTTTTAAGTAGGGCAAGTCACAACAGAGGTACACAATAGGGATAGCTGATCCACAGAAATCAATCTGCAAATTCAGTGTGGCATCTGCTCTCAACAGAGAAAAAGGTTAGCCTGCAGACTGTGGATAATACAGATTGCATCTGTAAATGTTGACATCGTATGTTATGTTTAATATTTCTCCTTTAGAAGTTCTGATCATTACACAACCCCCTGCAAGGTAACACTTATACAATTCAATGTTAAATCAATTTAATCAATCAAGCTGCTTCACTAATGCTTCCCTTGCGGTTAACCCTTAGATTGCTAGCATTTTCAGGATGCCAAGCAGATGCTTAGAGGAAATGCACGGAAAATGGTAGAGATTCCGTTTATCAGAAATAACCTGTTAGTCTAATGAATTACGTTCTTGGTATTGGGTAACTTGCCAAGGCCATCCCCTTTTATTTATCTTAATTTTCAGTGCTTATACTGTTTTCAAAGGCCAGAAATAGACATTGGGATATATGCGTGTATCCAGTTGCTTGTAAGTTAGTAAGTACATTAAGCAGCACTAGTGAATTGCTTCTGAGCCTGCCAGTCCTTAGCTGCAGAGTCTGCACAATGGTGAGGAAGAAGGGGCTGGGCCTGGAAGGTGCCGTTGAAAGGCAGGAGCCAGAGCAGGACAGCAAATTGTCCGCCTGTTGTCTCATCCTCTCGTCCCTTCGCTACAAGTTCTCAGTCTTTCCTCCCAGTAGTGCTGGGGCTATGAGGCAACTGTGCCAAAGCTTTGGGCGTTGGTAAGGGGATATTTAGGGACTGCTGGTGTATTTGAGTTTAGGTATGTTCCTGCCATGCTACAATTGGAGGAGAGGCTCCATTTGAGTTAGAACTTAAGCTAGATTACAGGAAAATATTGATGTTTTAATGTTTCATTTCCCCGAATCAAACCCATTTCTGATATTAAACAACAGATTACTGAATGGAAGGTTATTAGCCCATGTCCCCCAACTTTATGCATTTGAGAACACATCCCGTTACTGATTGGTGGACATTTATGGCCCCTTTAAACAAATGAACCAAAAAAAAAGGGATCCCTTAACAGTATCAATGGCTAGACTGAACTAACAAATTTCACTTACTCCAGGCAAGGGGGCTTGTGCAGCTGCAGGTTCCTACAGGTGCTAGGAGATTATCCTGGTTCATGCCTGCGCAGAGATGAGAGCTGGCGTGACTTCATCTGTTTTTTAGGGTATGATTGATTCTGAGCTCCCGTGTCCTTTGCTATTTCTTTTTCTGGATGGATAGAAAGCACATTTGCGGCCCTGCCCTTCGGTTTATGAAGTGCATGGGACTTAAGGTCGTTTAACCTCCCTCTCCCCTTTTGTCCCTGCCATTGCCTGCTTGTAATTTTGACAGCCGTCACCCAGCTGCCCGTGAGCTATGTGGCAGAAAGAACCTGATGCTAAATGACCAGTATGCAGACCAGAACTGCTTCTTAAATTCTGAAATACAAATATTAATCGTTAAGCCGAAATTGGAACAAGCCATCTCAGCTCAAAGGAGTTTTCCTGTTCTTTCTAGAAAGGTGAAAACATCTGCAAAGAAAAACTTAAAGTGCAGTCTTAGCTGTAAGCCTGGTCTTGCTGAAATCAGCAGTCTCCAAAGAGTTAAAAATATAGCTGGTAAGAGGAGATTTTGTTTTAAAAGCAGTATTGTGAATCATTAGCTATCCCGGAGGTCCACTCCCTTTGGAATTGAGACTTGCTGTCTTCCTAAATCCCAAATGAAGAATCACCTGCTCAAAAACCACATTAAATTGTTGCACTCTCATGTTGTTTCAGACTTATGGATGAGCTCCCAGATTCAGTGATGGAATGGGATTCTTCTGGAAGCAGCTGTCGTAAGTGCGCTTGCAGTATATACCATATAGCTGTATAGTCTGTTACAAAAAATCCTTAAGTGTCTTAGTCTATTTGGGGGAAGCAGTGTAAAAGTAACACAAATTCAACAAAGCCTGCCATTTAAAATCTCCAAAGGAATTGCTAAGTTTTGCGCCATACGGCAGGTGCCTTCACCAGGCCTGAGTCCATGCAGTATTGCCAGGCTCTGGTCTTAGGGCAAACTACAGCGTGCCAGCAGAAGTCATCCTTGAATCAGCCCCTTGACATCTGGCCTGCGTGAACCACTCTTCTGCTACCGGTCCAACAGAAGAGTTCAGCCTGAGATACCTGTGTTTAGCTGGTAACAGCAGTTGTGTAACACTCCTCATTAGATTATGTGTCACGTTCATTAATTCAGGGTGCATTTTAACTGAACTAATATTTCTGACGTCAGTGGAACTGGATCAGGCCCTTCATGTACAAGCTTATTATATTTTAAGCACTTTTAGCTCAAAGGCTTGTTCACTGCAAGGGGAGAAGGTAAATTTCTGGATGCTGTTGAATGCTGGTCACTGCAATAGATGATTCTTGATGCTTATTGGTACAGGATACTTAATGCTGTTATTACAGGAAGTCTTTTTTTTTTTTTTTTTTTTCCTGATGCTTTCCTGCTTTATCCCATAAACAAGTACTAAGTAGATGATACAGACATCGAGGGCTAAATTTTTAACCCTGGTGTGTGGTAGGACAAAAATCTCGATCAGTCTCATCTGTGATGTATGTTGTAGAGCGACGGAAGGGATCGTAGCCATACATAAACCAAGGTGTTAGGAAGCAGTCAGTGTCTTAACTAGCTGTTAGTATGGAAATAGTAAGCAACTGTCTACAAAAGCCTTATTGCTTAGTATTCAGAGTTTGAAAAAGCAAACCAATGGATGGTTTGTCTTGTTGTGTGTTTCTTCCTTCACTGAAATACAAAAGTAACCCAGGGAAAAAACCAAACTTCCTTCCAAGGTCAGCATCTTTTTTTGATTTATTCACTTATTTTCCTAACATTTCTGTGTTTGAATTATTGGTATGCATCACATATTACATGAAATATATTCATCGTGCGTATACATATTTAGTAAATCTTTCCTTCTGGGATCTTACCAGATGCTAATATCGGGTGTAGTCCTCCAATTTTAGGACACACTGGGGTCTTCAACTGAAAGAAAAGTTTGATCCCCCCCATATGTTTTTCTGGATGGTGTCATTTCTGCCCATTCAGTGGTTTCCCTGTTTCTAGAACCACTCAATAACGATAGCAAACTGATGCTGCTATTGGACTGGTTTAGGATGTAATCTCAAAACTAATATTTGTCCAAGTATAAGACACAAAAAAAAAGTTACTTTTTTCCAAAGCACTCAAAGTATAATATCTATGCAGATTAAAATAGTGTTGTTGTGAGTAGTTAATATTTAAAGGGGTATTATGATCTATCAAATATAAAATACTTGTATTTTAAACAGAACTATCAATATTTGTCGCTAAAGTATTTTGCTTAATTTTTATACTTGGATAGCTTTCGGTACTCTATGAATTAGTATATGAATATGAATATATGAATAGTATACTCTATGAATAGATGTGCATAAGAATACAGAGCACTTAAGCGTTAGCTTGTTTATCCGGGTCTGTCTTTCCCTTTTGTCATCTCGAAAAGACAAGATAGTGTCAGTTCTGTGGTTTGAGTGTGTCTTCAGCTGAAATTGTGTCATCTCGTTTGGCAGTGTAGGATTGGCATCCAGTTTGGAATTAAATCCTTTCTGAAGTTCTAGGTCTACACCAAGTGAAATTTACACTCAGATATGCTCCACAGGTGAAATATCTCAGTTTCTGGCGCGCGTTTATGGCTTAGCTTATGATGAGAAGCCGAAGTATCAAGCGCTCAAGAAAATCCTGCTGGGTGGACTAGAGTCAAGTGGAACTCGCTACGATGGCCCTCTGGAATTTTCCGCTGCAGCGTGCCCACGAAATCACTGTGCTGCTAAAGTGTCAAAAGTAAGACAGGTCAGTTCTGGGATTATTTCTGACATCTCCTGCTTGATTGTTGCCTTTTCTTTTGTGGAAGAGGAAATAGTTTAAGATCTCGAAACGAGACTGACACAGCAGTTCTTTTGCCTTAAATACACCATGTTTGTTAATTCCTGTTTCCCCTAGCTTTGCTAAAAAGTGGGATGTCAACCCTTAAGGAGGAAGAACTGTCATGAGTCCTTTTGACCTACAGCCTCCCACTTCAAAGCGGTGGGTTTGTGGAGAATGATTTACTTTCAGGATAATGGGGAAGTCAAGGACTTTGTTCACTAACATCTTGAAGACAAGCCTGAATGCCAGGTTTTTCCTTCGTTCCAGATTAAAAGCAAAGTTACCTTTATTAGTGAAAGCATTTAATTCATTTTCTCGCTTTCAAACTGTTCTTTGTCATTTGCCTTTATACTCCTGCAGCCGCTAATGTGGAGGAGGTATTATTCTGGGGTTTAACCGTGTTATTGGTATGCGGTGCTGTGTGATGGACTAACACAGAATTTTCAAACTGACAGCCATCACGTTATTGTTTTCCTTTTGTACTTTTAAGTCTGAAATGATACAGTTAATAAAGCCTTGGTCTAATAAGTGGAGATTGAGGTAATTAGCAGTCTTACTGGACTCGCTGTGAAATGTCAGTCCCGTCATACCTCTGCCTGGAAACTCCCTGTACGCAAAAGCCCCGTTTCTATCTCTGATGCGTGTGCAATAAGGCAGGGTCAGGGTACCATTCATTTTTGATATTTCTGGTGAACTTTGGACCATCGCAAGCATACGTGAGCCAAGAATGCAGGATGCAAACTAATGTGACTGATAGGCTGCTAGATGAATGGTGATTCAAGTATCAGTGCACAGATGGTTCTGATTTGCTGAGTTTTGTAGCTGCTGCAACTGAAGACATAAAATATCCTTCTAGTCATAAATTAGCTCTTTGGAAGCAAAACCTTGGCACAAGAGCTTATTGACATCTGTAGGCCTGCATAGTAATCATTCCTAATAGAAGAGAATATCTGTTTGAGGGGGTTTTGCATGGCTAATTAACCACCAGTGAGAATATGTAATTTTTTCATGATCTCCTGATTGTCACCTTTCTCTCATGATACAATTACATTTTATTGTAGCGAGTGCCTCACAAACCGATTGTCAGCACTATTTACGTATTATGGAAGGCAGAACAAAAGTTCAGGTTTAATAAAAAGGCACTGGGTTTTGATCTTGGCAATTACAGATACTTATTTTAGCAGTTTTATTGACTTCTTTGTTTTCATCACTTTTTTTTCTTTTAAGAAAACCAAAAGCTATGTCTGTGACTGTATTTCTCTCGCTATGACCGTGACCGCTTCATCCTCACTAATTTGAGAAGCTTTTTTTTTTTTTCTTAAAGTTTGTGCTGTTTTCTGAACTTCATTGAAACACCAGGTAGCTGCTATCTCATCTCCAGCTGATCCGGTTGGATCTCTGGTTCACAAGTCTTTGATTTCTTAGACTCAGATATTGAATAGTAAATCTATTTTCTTCTTATTGCCTGGCCCAAGACTTGACAGTATACTGGCATAAAAGACAATCCTGAACTTCCAGGCTGTAAAAGCTGCTGTAGCACTCACTATTTGCAAGTTTGCAACCCCACTGAGAAATCCATGAATGAGGAGTGTCAGTTATCAGCACTCATGTGCTGTAGGACTAAGCAGAATTGGTTTTGATGGCCAAGAACAAGATCAGAGCTAGCCTGTGTCTGCACGTTGCTACATCTTGGCACCTATCAGCACTTTTTCAGAGAAATTTTTAATGTCGAGTGCCTTGCTGCTTGGAACAGTACGAGTGCTAGCACTGCTCCAGCGCTTACCTATTTTTTACTTGAGTACATTTCTTCAGCCCGTTCTGCTGCTTACATGTGCAAGTTTCCTGTAACTGTCAAACAGCTGCAGAAAGGAAATTTCTAGGGTTATTCAGAGGACTTAAAGAGCACTTAAAGACAAGTAGAGGGGGCAGATAACTGAACTTTCTCTAAATCTATTGCTGTTCTCAGACAATCCGATTTTTCAACCTCTGGTTATTGGCTGTGGAGGATGTTCAAGGCCTGGCACACTTTGGTGCTACAGTCCTGACAGCGTTCGATGACAGGCAGGCACTTCCCACTGCATCTCTTCACGGCACTGTCTGTAGTTATCCTAGGTCTGACTCTTTTCATCTCAGCCCTCTGCATTCCCTTTCCACCTCTCCTTTTATTCACCAAACACTTCTCCCATTAAAGAGGCAACCTAAGAATAGTGGGAGCCACTACAAACAATCCACTGTCTCCTCACTTCTTGCTTATGAGCAGAATCTTGACTCCAGGTGACCTGTCTGATTCCACTGGTACCAGTTTGGTATGCAGGGGAGAGGTGATCTTGGGCTAATTCCCTTCTGAAGACCAGTAAATACCCATAAGTACCTGTTGGGGGATCCTGTAGCACTCGCTCCTTGGAGGTGACGTGAAGAGGAATTGTTACAGAACATGAATTTTAAGACGCAGCTCCCGGTATAGTGTATGAATCTAATCCTGAGATGACATAAAAAGCCTAACAGTGGCTACATCCTGTCTGCACCAAAGAGAGGTGATAAAATATTAATTGAGTTAATTCTCAACTTTGTTTACCATAGTTCTTGGCACTGGGTACATATTTTCAGCTTTTTCAAGTGAAAGTGCTAGCGTTAGGGCCAAATGAAGCATTGTGAGGCTGGCTGACTACTTCCTAGGTTTTGTAGATTTCATATTAAAAAATAATTACATCGATACCAACCTGTAATTTTTATTAGTGTGGAATATGGTAATTTGGGGGCATAAAATAAATATTTTTTTAAGTGCTGTAAGCACTGTTTTGAAAGCAAGGGAGACATTTAAGGTGCGTGTATACATTGTGAAGATACCAGTTAGCTGTTGACAGATCAGCAGCTCTTGGGCAATGCAATGCAGTGCCACGATACAAACAGCTTGGGCCCCTGCGTTCAGGTAACTGTCGTCGTGGCACTGCACCTCACCTCTCTAAGTCCATTTCTCAGGGCTGGCTGCAGTGGTTTGTCCTGGGGTAGGCTGTTTGAAACGAGCCTGAGTTGTTATTCAGAAGAGATAGAGCTTTTTGTTTCTAAACATTAGTAATTTTCTCAGAGCAGAACTATGGATTGTATTCTTAAAAGGTGTTTTGGATTAAACACTATAGGAAAAGTCTACTGGCCCTTTCAAAGGTATTTAGGTTGTGCTGTTTTTATCTCCTGTATGTATTTAATTTGCAGTATAAAAAAGCAGCCCATTATTTCTTTTTTAGCTGCTATGTTCAGATACAGCTGCTGCACAGAGCACCATATGCAAACATTATGGTTAGAGAGTTATTAGTGTGCCAGAAGTACCAAAGGCATGTGGCATACAGCCTGTGTTTTGGCTACATTTGTCTTCCAAGTTGCAAAAGCCAAAAACAGACATCATTTGCTACTCAGAGCTTAGAGCAGCACTAGAAAAAACTTGCATTAACTCCTGCAACTATTCACCATGCACTCCCCGTTTACATTTTAGAAGACTATAAAAGAATGTAAGACTTAACTCTTAAATTAGATTACCTGAGTCAGAAAACTTAGTGATTACCTTACTTTAGAGAGTTTTGCATTTGACTCAGTCCAGCGATAGGAAATGTATTCAGCTCTCCTTGTTAATGGAACAAGCAGCGACTTACTGGCATCATTCCCAATAAAGGTGAGTAGAGAATGTTCTGAAATGTACAACTCAAGTTTGGTTTACAGCGTACTTCCCAAACACAGCATAGCTCTAGCTTTGAAGAAGGCCTTTATTGATAATTAAAATGTTGAAAACAATTCTTTTGAGAAAGATGAAAGCTCACTCTCATTCTGTGTTCTTGGTACTGAAGATAGAACATTTTTCTCTTTGAAATACTGACTCTTTTTTTTTCCTGCACAGCAACAGGTTTGCTTACCAAAGCCTATGTCAAAACCAGTTCAGCAGAAGCAAAAAAAGATGGAAGGTGAAGAATACATCTGTCAAAACATGGCCTGTACTGGGGCAACAGGCAAACAACTCCGAGATGAAGAAAAGCCAAGTAAATTAACCAGGATGCCTCACCAACCAGAGCCACGGCAGGTGAGGATTTGGGCACTGCCATAACGCGTGGTATCTCCTGGGAACTGGTCTGCTCTGTTAGCTCAGCGTCCACCTTTTGGGGGGGCAGCAAGGAAGAAAAGCGCTTGAAAAAAGCCAGGAGCTATGTCATGAACAATAGGAGTTGGCATGTGCTTACTGGCTTGTATTGTTCCAAACATAAAACTCAAATTGTTTCTAGTAAGCCCAGGGAATAAGTGCAAACAGGGAGGGTGCTATCCTTACCTGTCTCAAACCTGACAGGTCTGAGTATCGGAACAGTACCTGTGATAATTTTGAATGTTACTCAATTCTTTTCAGCATACAGAATTACTGTCTGTACCTCAACAGGTTCACTTACCGAAGCCTTCACCGAAACCAGTGCAAGAGAAGCAAAACAAGGTGAGAGAGGAAGACTGTAACTGCCTCGGCAGGCCCCCTGCTCGCGTAATGCGCCGGCACCTCCAGGCTGAAGAGAGGCCAATTAATTTTTACGCTATGATTCAGGAGCCTGACCACCCGCAAAAGGTGAGCGTTTTGGTGTTACCTTAGAACAGTCGTGGCACCCTGCAAAAGAAAGATCAGCTTTTCTAAAAATAAGAGTTTAAAAAAACCCCAAAACTAGATGTACACCACCTAGATGTTTGCCACAAACACAAAAAGTTTGTGTGTAGTTGTTTGGTCACAGCAGAGCAGATTACCACTCTGTTTTTTCTAGTTTGGTAGTAAAGCAGTGCACAGCGCTAGCATGCAGAGAAAGTGTTGGGAAATGAGGGTCTCCCTTTGCGGACCCTGGTGTTTTCTTGGTAGAAACTTACTTCAGTAGTTTCCTTTTCTACGTATTGGAAAATTTCACAGCACTCGTAATTACGTTCCTAAATTTTGACTTCTTAATCTGAGGATTTTAGTAGTTAACTAACACACCTCAAATATTATCGCTAATTACCGCATAAAAGGGTCGAATGAATGTATTCAGTCTTAGTCTTCAGCTGTACATGAGAAAATTGATAAAAAAAATTTCATTGAGCTTCTAGTAAAAATAATGCAGAATAAAGTACATCTTGGTAACCACACTGTGCTCCTTTTCTATGGGATTTAGTTATATTTTAACAAAGGGATTCTACCCTGTTTGCTTCTTTCATATAGAAAACTAACTTGTTAAATGAGGACAATTTTTAATAAGCACAAAAATACAATTTTAAAAGATAGCTTTATTATTAATCCACGATTCTTTGCTTCAAGCAGTCTGCTGATCACTGCCTGGCAACTCCAGTACAAGCTAGGAGAGCGAAGCAGAAAAGCACAGCTGTACCTGAGAGCATCAGGCAGTAAAGTGGTGAGCAGACCAATTTTTGGAGATGTTTTGGCTGATAGCAAAGCAGGATTCTGAAAAGTCTCTGGAGTCCTGACACAGCAGTGACTCAAAGTAACAAATGCAGTTTTGTAATATGAAGATATTTCAGTGCTGCTGCTTAGTCCTCAAATGTAAAATTTAAAAAGTATTAGCAAAAAAAGGTAGTGAATCTCCAGAATATTTGGTGTAAAATATGGAAGGAGAGCTGCATTTAGGGTTCCAGCATGACATGAGGGGGGAAAAAAAAGAGCTGGTGTAACTTCCCCTGTTTACAGCAGGGGCTTTGTGTTTCCCTCCTTTTTGTGGGAGGAAGGAAAAGTACATTTTTACAGAAATGGGATTAATTGCTGGTCTAGTATTTAGATATATTTGTGGTTTGATTTAGTCTTTCTAAAGGAGAAGCTGCTGTTCCAATATGATTAATAATGCTGCAGCTATGGAGAGGAGTTCTGTGGTACTCACTGAATATTATGTGTAGTAGGGCAGGGTTAGAATGGATGTCAGATATTCAAATGAGAAACTGGAGAAGGAAAAAAAAGGCAGGATTGTATTTGTTTCGTTTTGCAGACTTCCTTTCACATAACTTAGGATGTTGGAAAAGGAACACCATACAGGAAACTTCAGAGTACTGAGGTTATGAAAATTCAGGAGGATTCTTCAAGCACAAAGGGGGAAAAGAAACAGTGGTTTGTGCAGGCACTGGAGTGGCGAGAGGCTGTCCAGCACTCTCCAGAAAGCAACTCCAAACGCCTGGAGCAGGTACCTGCAGGTGCCTGGCTCCACGTTAGACACTTAGTTGGGATGGCCACCCTGTTGCCGTTATGGGCACAACAAAAAGCAGAGAATTAAAAAAAACACATGAGCTGCCTTTATGTTGGACCTAATAGTGTCTTTCTATGAGATGGGGCCCGTAGTTCATTAAAACAAATTTGCTAATTCAAAAGAGGGATAAACCAGGAAATTTCTGTTAGAGAAATACAATTTAAGTTATGAATTTTCACCAAGAAAACTAAGTTGCTAGGGTTGGAATTAAGAGGGATGTATTGCTAAAAATAACATCTTGTGAATGGGAGCACAGAAAGGAAACCAAAGGTGGAATTTTTTCTAAGAGACAGTGGAAAATATGGTCAAGTCTTAGATAGGGGGGAAGCAGAATCGTAGTGTTTGGGAATTTCTGTCAGAGATGGGGATCAAAAAGGTGAGTTAATGATGATGTGGCTTTTGGAGATCTAAAAAGCCCCCAAACACTATGCAACTGGAACAACCCCCTCCACTACGAGCATATTTATGCTATTGTGATCAATGAGAAGAGCTTTAGCTTCACTAGGAAATGCAAAAACTTACACAAATTAAAACGGCAAATCAAACTTCAGAGAAATGTCTAGGGTTTCCAGGCTATGACTTTATTAGCAGGAACACTAATGTAAATGTATTAACATTTTGGGGGAACAAGTTAAAAAGAGAATTTCAGCTGGTTGGCTTTAGTAATAAATAGAGAGTATGGCTCTTTAGAAGGTGTTTAATCATACCTACTGTTATATACACTTAATATCCAATCCTTATACCTGCAAATTCAAGTTAAGACTTTGTAAGAATTGTATTGCTAGGATAACAAATAACCTAGATGGCATCTTTGGTGTCTCTGTTTTTCCCATTCATACTTCACTTATTCGTATCCAATCCTTATACCTGCAAATTCGAGTTAAGACTTTGTAAGAATTGTATTGCTTTCTCTAGTATAACAAATAACCTAGATGGCATCTTTGGCGTCTCTGTTTTTCCCATTCATACTTCACTTATTCAATATTAAGTTTATTATAACAACGTTTTTTCCCCCTGCAGAAAGACACTGCAAGAGAATTGCCACCGTTCGACCCCCAAGCAATATTCTCAGAATCCAAAAAGAAATACGATCCACTCTTAACTACAGATTATCCAGTATCGTTGCAAGAAACTGGCTCTGACATCACTACTCCTTCTATAACTATTTTACTTAGGTTTGCATTTACTGATGAAACATACCTCTACAGTATAGCTATACTTGTACTTCTGCTACTAATATTACTTTCCTTGTATTTTCTTTGACATCACTGTTTTGATGTCTTCAGCGTAAGTGCCGTGGTGTTCCCATCACGCAGTTTTTTTCTCAAAGTTTCTTCACTGAAGATTTCAGCGTCAGAGGCTTGGGAAAGATTTTTTTAAAATAGTATTGTCAATACATATCTTTTAAAGGCAAGTTCGCTTCAACTTCCCAGGTCTGCATCCAGTATTTGTACAAGGCTGGTTTGTGTTACAAATCTTGGGGTTTGGTTATTTTTTTTTTTTTTGAAACTGGACCTTTGCTACAGTAACATAAAAAAATCTCATTAAACACAACGTGACTTGATATCTAATTATTCTAACGCGAGTATGGTGATAACTGGGGCGTACCCATCTTTATACTGCTCCAGAAATGCTTTAGTTAAATAGTGATGGATTACGTGCGTGGGAATTTCAAGTTTTCCTCTCTTTATTCCAGTGTGTAAAGGGAAGATAGTAGCCACAAATTCTCTTTTACAACTGGCTTTGTTACTGCTTTTGCCTTTATCTAACCTACCACACACTACTTAGTTCAATCACTCATTTTTATACATATATATAATATATAAATAATATATTTATTATTATTTAATATTTTCTTACCTTATTACAATATGGACATTCACCAAAGATGACATTAAAACTCTGTCTGCTAGAAGGAAGACTTTGTAGCCACTGCAACACAAGTAAGTGGATTAAAATTAACTTTTTTTTCATATCAAATTTAAGAACAATCTATTACTAGGGGTTGTTCCAAACAGACTTCATTTGATCAACATCTGACACGGTGCGTGTCAAGACAGAGCCTGCATAACCACAAGGTGAGGCAGGTTCCCTTCCACAGGGAGCTTTTTTACAAACGGGGGTTACAAGACAAGAGGAAGCACAGTGACTGGGGTAGCACTCCTTAAAGGAGTTTGTTTCACCTGAAATGTCAGCGGGCACTGCTTATTTTCTAGAATCTGTAAGATAATGAGTAAGTTTGTCCCTTTAATCACCTTACCTCATACAGGCATGCATGGTGAAAAGGCTGTCCACAGCGGGGATCGTCGCACACTTGGTCTGGAGTAGTGCCCTCGAGCCGATAGGCATAGCAGATTCCACAGTCCTTCGCAAAATCCTTAAAACACAAGACCTTTTAGCTTACAGCATGGCTGCAAGGAAGAAACAGGGCTGGTAATACAGCAAACACGTTTTTCCATTTGTCTTTGCTTTTGCCTTTTTGGTTACTTAGAATTAGTAAATATTTTTGCCTCCAAAATCTCTGTTTACATCGTTACGGTATAAAGAGCGAGAGGAGTTGCCAGACGTACAAAACTTTGGAAGGTTCTATTTTATCCTCTCACTGAATCCCATCTAGTTTGACAAGCATTTTCATACTCTTGGGCCCCACTGTTTCTTTTTTATTAAACACAAAGATGTGTCATTACGTTTGGACATTAGACACAAGACTGCACAGTCAGATATTAATTCAAGAATTTCACAAGTGAAAGCAAAGCTTGTAATCCAGTGTTACAGCATTGTCAAAAATTAATTCCAAGTTTGTTTGAAATGCACCAGTATTTGGATGGCCTCTTGTCCCCTCTAAGCAGCTCTACCTAATTAGAACTTAAGTCATCAACATCCATAACAGAATGTTTGGATTTTCCACATCTCATTAACT